CGTTGTTAATTTTGGTAATTAATGACAAGCACTAATTATGGACTAACCGTTGTCTTTGAGCTATATATTTTAAGTTAGGTCCACGTCATATGTGCGCATGGATGATTATCGATGGATTAAAATTGACGGCGCAAAGCAAAGGGAAAGAAGACGGTAAAACTAGTGCTTTAATTTAGAATTGATCGAGGTGTAGGGCAATCAAATTTGCTAGTTTATTTTTAGTTTCGCCGTACTATTAAGAGGGGTAATGACCTAGCAATGAGATGATTTTAATTGCCACATTAGGTCATTATGCATTTAGACTTGTGCTCACATTTCATCACACACACAAAATCACTTTGTATCTCACTGGGTTCGGCCTGACCAGGGGCGGTCAGACCGGCCACATAGTGGCGGTCTGACCGGCGTGCCCTGGCCGGTCTGACCGGCCGCAAGACGGTGGTCTGACCGGCGCATAAGGCCGGTCTGACCGGTGGCACATGCGCGGTCAGACCGGCCCCCTGTAGGCCGGGATGGTGCTACTCGGGGTGGCCGATACAGAGCCGACGGAGCCGTATTCGGTCAGACCGAGTCGATGGCAGTCTGACCGAGCCGAGGCCGGTCTGACCGGCCACTCAACGTCGGTCTGACCGGCCAGGCCGATGGGGCCCTCTAATAGCGCTACAACGGCTAGTTTTCTAGCCGTTGCAGAGTAGCACGGTCTGACCGGCCACATACCTCCGGTCAGACCGACAGAGCACAGAGTTGGGGGATTTCGCCCCTAATAGCTAGTTTTGGTTGGTGGGAGTATAAATACTCCCCCTCCAGCAGCAAGGGGGCTCTCTTGGTACCCAATTCAATTGCATACACCCCTTGCACCTCTCTCACACCCACTTGAGCTTTGTGTTCATTCATCTAGTGTGTTAGAGGGTTGATTAGCCAAGAGTCAAGTGCATTTGCTTCCATTGTAGAGCTAGTGTGGCATTTGATTGATCATCTCCACGCCGGGTCATTGCTTGTTACTCTTGGAGGTTGCCGCCTCCTAGACAACTTGTAGAGGAGTTGCCCGGTGACCTCTCCGAGAAGATTGTGGAGGAGGCCCGGTGCTGGTTTGTGAGTGGTTTGGAGTTCACCACCTTCGGAGTGAAGGAAGAACTACACTAGTGATCGAGGCTTGGGTAGTCCTCTCCATGGGCCGGCTCCCGCCTTACCCACCCCTTGACGAAGGGGGCGTGCGGAGGCTTCGTGGTTGAGCGGTGGAGTTGGGCTTGCCTCAAAGGGGAGTAGGAAACCGGCGAGTTTCCGAATCTCGGTGAAAAATCTCTTGTCTCCTTGTCTCATTTGATTGTCGCATTTACATTTGTGCAATTTACATTCCTAGAGACATACTTGAGATCATATCACCGTAGGATTGCTAAACATTGACATAGGAGTGTGATTTACTTTCCTAGAGATATAATTGAGCCAATATCACCCTAGGTTTGCAAAACATAACTTAGTTGCTTAGTTAGAGTTGACCCTCACCAAACCTACCAACTTAGGTTAGTTTTGATTAGGTGTCATTTAGTTTTAAATCGCCTATTCACCCCCCCTCTAGTCAACATCACGATCCTACACTCCGCCATGTCTTCTGGGCAGGTCCGCCTCAGCCTTGTGGCAACGCTGGTGGTGAGGACGGCAATGGGGCGGTTGATGGAAGACAACGACGGCAGCGGTGGGCGACAACGACGGCACGGTTGATGGAAGACAACGACAGCGGTGGTGGACGGACGACGGCACGGCGCACGCGGTGGAGGGCCAGAGGAGAGGGGAGCAGCGGTGGAGGGCAGAAGGCGTCGAGCTCCGGCAGCTGAGCTCTATACGAGCTCTAGGGGCGGTGGAGGCAGCCCGGTGTGGCGGCAGCTGAGCTCGGGGACGACACTAGTGAGCTCGCCGGAGGTCGCCCTCGTGCTGCTACTTCACGCTGTCCGCACACATTTGGCTGGGAGACAACAAGGGGATGACGAGCGGTGGCGAACGACACAGAGCAAGAAGCAACAGCACATCAAGGGGCATGGGACAACAAGCAGCGGCGGCTTGTAGCCACATGGATCTTGCCACCAAGGTCCTCCCACGCATGTGTTGTCGAGCACTGCTAATCACCGTCGACGAGCCGCTCCCCGCACGCGCATCCAGGAAGCCAAAGGAAGACATTGTGCAAGAGGAAGAGCTGATGGCATGGGGAAGGAAGAGCTCGCCGTCATTCGCAAAAAAAAGCTTGCCGGCATGGGGAAGGAGCTTGCCGACGTGGGGAAGGACGAGCTCGCGGGCGTTGGGGAGGATGAGATCGCCGACGACTGCCAGATGCGTGCGAGCAAACGGAGCGAGGGGGATGAACTGACGACGCGCGGCTTCGGGGAGACGGAGTGGCATGGAATGAAGCAATTCGCATCCTCGGTGGCATATTCTGAAAGTAGTGCGAATTGGATGGCAAACCCTGAAAGCAATGCGTATTCGGTGGCATATTCTAAAAATTCTCGTTACTCTTCTAAAATATAATGCATAAATAAATATATTTTTTTACATATTTCATAATATAAGGATGTATGCATTATTTAATTGATTAGCATCTTCCCCTATCTTAAATTCATATTTTAATTATCCGTTTCCAATACCTCTAATCCTATTAGATGCAAGTAGGGGTGAAAGCACATCAAATTCAAACGGAGAATGGTAATACCATATCCTAAACCATATTTTTCTTATGTGGATTCGGAGCTAATGCGGATGCAGATTGGAACGGATTATTTCAGATGTTGAAATTGGTGCGGAGTTAGGTGCGGACCTGGTTCGAAAACGGATTAAAATCGTCGGATGTGTCGTGTATATGTATCAACACAATATCAACTTAGAAATGCAACAAACAACAACAAAATAATCAATGGTTGATCTAGTCATAATAATTATAGGCTTAAGTGCTAAACAACATGAATACATGATGTCTATTATAGGCTTAAGTGTAAAACTGAGGATTGGAAAATACATGAATAACCGTTTGATTGGACCACAGGAAAACACAAGAATCGGATGAGAGAGATGAATCTAAACATATATGTGTCTAGATTCATTAAGATTTATATGAATATGGACAATGCTATAAAGTCTTACATTATAAAACAGAGGGATTATATAAGAATATGGAAGAAAGCTCGTCCTTTTGACCTTACATACAAATATTGCCAATACATACAAATATTGTTATTTGCTAAAATCCTTGCATCTACAAATTTCCTATACTGGATTCGTTGCGGCTGATTGTGTCAGTGAAGTAGGAACCTGGATCCCCACTGCCGGTTATTTGGGGCGCCCACCGCCAAGACATCAACTAGACGGCTCACGTAGCTGCCGCCACTCCAGGTGCCCACCGCCACGCCATCCATGCTCATTATAACAAATCCAATCATCTTCATATCCCTATCCTAGTCTATTTGTATTCTCTTTAGGATAAATGTTTCAACGGTCCTCACAATCATCTCTCTATTACTGATAATATTTTTTAGCTCATTTGCATACTTACTTTCTTGCCAAATTGAGCGAGGTGAACTCGCTTAATATCCTCCGCCAACGCCTAATGCATATAGCCTAGTTCCCACCCATATGTAACTCCCATCCCCATCATTCCCACCCTCTAAATGATGTACTGCCTAACCTTATTCTATTCTCTTCTTATGCCGTGGCCCCCAAGTCAATTATCATATCCTCGTATTTTCAATCACACTATGACACTCACTTCTACTCCCTCCCCGTGTGATGCCTTCTCTTCTTTACAATGTCTTGGATAGATCTATACAAACATGATGGATATAATAAATCTATCTAAATGATTAGAGAAATATCGACTCGTCATAATATCAGACCTAATCGAGAAAGTCCTAACTAAGCTGATATGACTCTAAATAGGGATGAAGTTAAAAATAAAACCAATATATCAAATAGACAACGCTTGCGCCAACCTGAATAGAATATCAGACTTAACCGAAAAAGTTCTAGTCACGCTGATACAAGCAAAGTTGACAGAACTTACTTCCTTGCCGGAGATCAAAACCGATGCAGCCCAACTCGAAATTAAGAACTCGCCAGAATAAAAGGTGATGGTGCACCGAAAGTAATTGTATTGATATGTAAAGATGTCTTACATAGTCTCTAGGTGTACATATTTATACCTTTGTATTGATACAAGTCGTGATTGGAGACCACACATGTTTCCTAAAGATAAAAGAAAAGATACGAGTCATCCGATACTAGAAGAAACTTTCTAATCTAAAGATAAAATATAAAATTACTAAATCATGTCTAATTAATAAATAAAATTAAACCGTTATGTCGTGGTCTTCATGATTTCTTTTTGAACTTGGTCTATTCTAAATAAGCTTCGATCTACCAATTGAGTTCTTTGCTTAACCGAATCAATTAGAGAATCGTACTAAATTTTGACATGGGCTGTGTTTAGTTCCTTGGCCAAATATTTTTGAAGTATACGGACACACATTTGAAGTATTAAACGTTGTCTAATAACAAAACAAATTAAAGATTCCACCTGTAAATTGCGAGACGAAATCATTAAGCCTAATTAATCCATCATTAGCAAATGTTTACTTCACCATCACATTGTCAAATCATGGCGTAATTATGCTCAAAAGATTCATCTCGCAATTTACATACAAATTGTGCAATTATTTTTTTCGTCCACATTTAATGCTTCATGCGTGTGTCCAAATATTAGGTGTGACGTTTTTGGAAAAAAAAAAGTTGAATCTAAACATGGCCCATGGACATAGGCCGTGTTTAGTTCCATTTCAATTTTTTTAAGTATACGGACACACATTTAAAATATTAAACGTAAACTAATAAAAAACAAATTATTCCGATGAATCTACTCATCCTAATTAACCCGTCTTTAGCCTAATTAATTCCCAACGGAGCCTTTGTTGTATTTTTATTCCTGAGTAACGCTGACACGTGGGTCACAGTCATTAGAAAACTTTTGAGATAAAAGGCGGAGTAGTAGTCAGTAGTACTCGAGTATCTCCCCATTCCTCCTCGCGTAAAAGAAAATCTCCCGTCTCGTCGTCTCCGTTCCTTGCGCCATCTCGCGGCTGAACAGGGGTCGCGAGCAGAGCAGGGGATCCTGGTGAGCATCCGCATCCTCTTTCTGATTCATCTCTCTCTCTCCCACCGGGACTACTTTTTTCTGGAATTTGCTTGCGTTCGTCAATCCTAGCTTCTCTTCTAAATCTTGGAAGAAGCTCTTCTCTTCTTTTCAGCGCCATAACCTTAATACAAGTAACAATCTGTTTGTTCCCCAAAAAGTTTGAGGGTTTAACTGAACCCCTATGTCTCAAGTTGGATCCGCTCCTGTAACGTTTCCCCCTTAAAAATTTTTTTTGGGGGTTCAACTAAACCCTAGGTTTATTGGTATCTGGTGAGTAGTATGTACTTGCATGATATAGATCTATATATGTATTGGTTTCTTGCAACCAGTTTGTGAATACGCTCTTGTATCCGCTTCTTGCAATATCCCATCTCTTCCCGTAACAATGGTGCATTCGCCTTCTTGCTCAAATATGGGGTTTTGTTTCTTTTGTTTTTTTTTATCCCCAAATGTAGTTGGTTGTCGATGCTTCTTGTGGGGGGCATGCCTTTTAATCTGTTTGGTTTGATTTAAAATTTCTCCCTGAAGGGTCAATGTGCTGTGCTTAAGTTTCTTGGTTCAAAAGGTCATGGGGGGCATGCCTTTTAGTCTGTTTGGTTTGATTTAAAATTTCTCCCTGGAGGGTCAATATGCTGTGCTTAAGTTTCTTGGTTCAAAAGGTCATGTTTTTAACTCCACTGTTGTGTACAAGTTCTTCAGTTTGCTACTCGATGGAGAGTTAATGTGCTGAGCTTAGGTTTCTTGGTTTATAAGTTCGTCTTTTTAATTCACCTATTGTATACAATACAAGACCTTCAGGTTGCTACTCCCTGGGGGGTTTGAACCAAGAAATGCCGTACGGCACATTGACTTTTCAAGGAGTAGAAAGCCGAAGGGTTTTCATACAATAGTTGAATTAAAAAGATGAACTTTTGAAACAAGAAACCTAAGGACAACACAAGTTCTTCAGTTTCTTGGTTCAAAATAGTTCCATCCTTTTAATTCAACTATATTGTATACATGCCCTTCAGGTTGCTATTAGTACTCCCTGAAGGGTCAATGTGCTGTTCTTATAGGTTTCTTGGTTCAAAAGTTCGACTTTTTAATTCAACTATTGTATAAAAGCCCTTCAGCTTGCTACTCTCTGAGAAGTCAATGTGCTGTACTGCATTTCTTGGATAAAAAAAAATCGATAGTTTGTCTTTTTAACTCAAATGTTGTATACAAGCTCTTCAGTTTGCTATGTCCTGGAGGGCCAATTTGCCGTGCTTAAGGCTCTTGGTTCAAAAGTTTGTCTTTTAACTCAAATGTTGTATACAAGCGCTTCAAGTTGGTCTGATTTGAAATTTCTTTTTGAAAAGAAGTGTGATTTAGACCATAGGCTCCCCCTTCTCAGCTGATAGGCATGAAAACAACAATGAAAAGAATTCTTGTGGAGGCCTGCTTTTATTCCGATTGCTGTGATTCAAATTTATCCCTAGAGGGTTAAATGGTTAATGCGCTTGCTTAGTTTGTTTGGTTCAAAAGTCCTTTCTTTTTAACTCAAGTGCTGTATACAAGCTTTTATTCTGGTACGATTTAAAATTTCTTTTCAGTAAGTGTGATTTAGACCGAAGGCTACCCCTTTTCAGCTGATACATGCATTAAAACAACAAAAGATTAACTTCTCAAGGCAGTAATCACTACAATACATGCAACTAATAACAATAGGGTGGATTCGGTTGGAGAATGAGCCAAACTTTCTTAAAAAGGAATTGCCGTAATACAGGTTTTGCGCTTAAAAGCTTTTAATCTGCTGCTGCAAGCAATTATATCTGGCTGGTTTGTTAATGATTACAATTGTTTTGTTACCTCCCTTTTTTATTTATTCAGCAACAAAACTTTCCGTATTGATGCAACTGTCATTGCATTATTGAATTCAACATGTTGAATATAATGTGTTTATCACATTGATGTCAATTCCTCAAAGGGGTAATCTCCCCTATTGTAACATTGATTAATCCCCCTATTTGCAGCTCATAGAATGGACGCTCATGATGGTGAGGCCGATGAGTTGCCGCCGCCTCCTCCCGTACCTGCAAATGTGGTGCCTATTAAAGCTGATGACGTTGAGAGCGAGGTGCCAGCAAACAAACCAGCAAAACCTAAGCGGTTTCCAATGGCCAGGCCTGGTTTAGGGAGAAAAGGACAGCCAATCCAGCTCTTGGCGAATCATTACAAAGTTTCTGTGAAGAGTAGTGAAGAATATTTCTTCCACTACAATGTAGGTTTCTATTCTAATTTATTATCTTATATTCAATTTATGGGAATTCATAACCATAATCAACATATGTACCTGGCTGATTTCTAGTTCTGTGGTACTTTATTAATAGGTTATTCTGAAGTATGAGGATGATCGACCGGTTGATGGGAAAGGGGTAGGTCGAAAGGTGATTGATAAACTGCAGCAAACCTACCGTTCTGAGCTTTCAAGCAAGGACTTTGCCTATGATGGTGAAAAGAGCCTGTTTACAATTGGTGCTCTTCCACAAGTAACTAATGAGTTCACAGTGGTGTTGGAGGATGTTTCAACTGGAAAGTTAGTTTATCCTTGATTTGTTTTTTTGCTGTTTGTGCTTTCCTAATATTATGTTTGGTATTATGTCTTGTTTAACTATTTCTTGTTTATAGGACTGCTGCCAATGGAAGCCCTGGAGGTAATGACAGCCCTGGAGGTAGTGACAGGAAGAGAGTTAGGAGACCATACCAGACCAAGACTTTCAAAGTGGAGCTGTGCTTTGCAGCAAAGATCCCTATGAATGCAATTGCTCAGGCCATAAAAGGTCAAGAATCAGAGAACTCCCAAGAAGCTCTCAGAGTTCTTGATATAATATTAAGGCAGCACTCTGCTAAACAGTATGTTTCTCCACAAGTGCATTATCCCTGTGATTTAAAAGTGCTCTGCTGTATTTGGGTTTTTGTATGCTCTATACCACCGTGTCAACCACAAGTGTATCACCTCATGACTGCATTAATTTTTTTTCACTATCTACAGGGGCTGCCTTTTAGTACGCCAGTCATTTTTCCACAACAATCCTAATAACTTTGTTGACCTGGGTGGTGGTGTGATGGGCTGTCGAGGATTCCATTCAAGTTTCCGTGGCACACAGAGTGGACTTTCTCTGAATATCGGTTTGTATTTTGTCCTGACATATCGTTGTGCAATTGCATTGTTTATCGGTTTGTATTTTGTCCTGACATATCGTTGTGCAATTGCATTGTTTATTTGTGGTCCTTACATAATCCTATATTTAAGTAATCTTCCTGAATTTTCAGATGTTTCGACAACTATGATTGTTAAACCTGGTCCTGTTATCGATTTTCTTCTTGCCAACCAGAAAGTTGATCACCCTGACAGAATTGATTGGCAAAAGGTGAGCTTTTTATTTAATATCATTGATGTTTATGTGTTAGTAATCATCCAACCATATTGGTACATTCTTACTTGGATGTTTTCTTGCTCAATACAGGCCAAGCGTGCTCTCAAGAACTTGAGGATAAGAACCACCCCTGTGAATTCAGAATTCAAGATCATTGGTTTGAGTGACAGAAATTGCAACGAACAGATGTGAGAGCATATTCTTCCTTGCTATTTTATTCATCTAAAGCAATTCTTAAATTAATATTTTGGAAAAGGCACCCAATTGTTTTGAGCTTGTATTGCAGTTTTTTTCCTAATCATTCTGCTATTATCGATTGCTTTCTGATTGGCATGCTTGACTAGGTTTTCGTTGAGGCAGAGGAATGGGAACAATGGGGATGTTGATGAAGTTGAAGTTACAGTCTATGATTACTTTGTGAAAAACAAAGGCATAGAGCTGCGCTATTCTGGCAATCTTCCTTGCATAAATGTGGGGAAACCAAAGCGTCCAACTTATTTTCCAATAGAGGTCTGTTTAATTTTTGCTATTCTACATGTTTAAAAAAGTTTACTAGAATTATTTATTATTTCAAACTCCTGTTGTGAATATTCTTGTATTACCAGCTATGCTCTCTTATTCCACTACAAAGATACACCAAAGCTTTGTCAACACTGCAAAGGTCCTCCCTTGTTGAGAAATCCAGACAGAAGCCCCAGGAAAGAATGTCAGTCCTTAATGATGTGAGTTACTATTCTTGATTCTAACCTGCTACAATCATATAGAAATGGTTGGAATTGTCAACATGACTGGTAAGTGACGATTCATGTTTACCCTAAATGCAAGGCACTTCGACATAGTAATTATGATTCTGATCCCATGTTGAGGGCATCTGGCATTTCAATTGCCCAAAATTTTACTCAAGTTGAAGGAAGGGTCCTGCAACCCCCAAAGGTTGGTGAGGATTCTCTGAATTCGTATGTTTTCACATGCTCCATGTTCTATTCAACGTACCGCGTCTAAGTATATATTGTATCATGTAGCTGAAAGCTGGCAATGGTGAAGATATATTCCCACGCAATGGTCGGTGGAACTTCAACAATAAGGTCAGAATGATTTTCTTTATCATATCTTTATTCTTGGTATGGAGGAGGTCGAGGAACATTCTGATTTCTTTCCCTTTTTTCAGAAACTGATTCAGACCTGTTCTGTCGATAAGTGGGCAGTAGTTAATTTCTCTGCACGCTGTGATGTGCGAAATCTTATCCGGGACCTCATAAGAAATGCATCTGCGAAGGGGATTGTATGTTTTAGCTTTTTATCACATATTTTACGCCTGATATTTCTTTGCACTGAACTTTGTTAACTTTGCAGCAAATGGCCGAACCTTTTGATGTGTTTGAAGAGAGCCCCTCATTGAGGCGAGCACCTGTATCAAGAAGAGTAGATGATATGTTTGAACAGATAAAATCGAAACTTCCTGGAGCTCCGAAATTCCTCTTGTGCCTTCTTCCTGAGAGGAAAAATTGTGAAGTTTATGGTTCGTCATTGTTTCCACTCCCTAAAGTCATTCACTCCCTTGCAAAATTTACATTGTTTTGTTTCAACCAGGTCCTTGGAAGAGGAAGTGTCTTGCTGAATTCGGTATTGTCACACAATGCCTTGCTCCACAAAGAGTCAATGATCAGTACCTACTCAATTTGCTATTGAAGATAAATGCCAAGGTATTTAACGTAACCTTGTCTTTTCTTACTGCATTATCCATTTATGTAAGCTTATGGACTTGCTCTTCCCCTGTTACTAACCAGCTTGGTGGAATAAACTCATTGCTGCAAATTGAAGCATCCCCTTCAATACCTCTTGTATCGAAGACACCTACCATCATCTTAGGTATGGATGTGTCACACGGTCAACCAGGACAATCTGATAGACCTTCCATTGCTGCGGTAAGAGGGATATACTTTTACTCTCATAACTCCACACACTGAACTGTTGTAGCTCATGTCATATGCATGGATTTCTCAATTTCTAAGTTGGGGTGCTTAATTGGTTATTGTATACCTTTGGAGTTGTTTAGGTGGTTAGCTCTCGCCAATGGCCTCTCATCTCTAAATACAGAGCATCGGTGCACACTCAGTCACCTAAGCTAGAAATGATGTCTTCCTTGTTTAAGCCACGAGGAACTGAAGATGATGGCCTCATTCGGTAAGAGATATTATTTGATAAACCATTGTTGCCAATGTATACTATGATTGCTCACAAGTATCCTTTCTATAGATGCTTATCTTTGCATTTGGGATTTTTCAGGGAATCGCTGATTGACTTCTACACTAGTTCTGGAAAACGGAAACCGGATCATGTTATCGTTTTCAGGTTTCGAGTTCAAAAATTGTTGTCTGTGAATCTCTCTGAATTCTGTAGTAATATCTTAGATGTTCATTTACTCAAATTGTTAACTGAAGCTGTCCCAGCAACTGATGTAAATACTTTCTATTTTTTAGGGATGGAGTTAGTGAAAGCCAGTTTACTCAGGTCATTAACATTGAGCTTGATCAGATCATTGAGGTGTGTGTTTATTTCATTAGCCCTCCCATACCTGCTACTGCACGTCCAACTTCTGTACTCACCAAGTAGTAGCTATGCCCTATTGCTCATTTTTCTTTAAATGTAACCTATTGCCCATCGCTTTCATTGTTTTGCTTTTAATTGATGCAGCTCATCAAGTAGTAATTATGCCTAGGACTCATCTGAAAAATATCACATATTGTGCATCACTGTTTCTTTGGCTTTTAATCAATGCAGGCATGCAAATTTCTCGATGAGAAGTGGTCACCAAAGTTCACAGTGATTGTTGCTCAGAAGAATCATCATACCAAATTTTTTCAGTCTGGATCTCCAGATAATGTTCCGCCAGGTAACTCTTTAGGCAGTTTTCTCTGATACCTATGTTATATCATTTTACTGTGATGAAATCATGGCGAGGCTAAAGATAAATGGTAAACGGCCTTCTGTAGGTACTGTTGTGGACAAACAAGTGTGCCATCCAAGGAATTATGACTTCTACATGTGTGCTCATGCTGGAATGATTGTAAGCTATCTCTGGTTTCCACCTGCAGTGCACTTATTGTGAGCTCATTGCTTTGTATGCTCTCCGTTGCTTGTGTTTATAAGATGTTTGTTGTTTCAGGGAACGACGAGGCCAACACATTATCATGTTCTGCACGATGAGATAGGTTTCTCCCCTGATGATCTGCAGGAGCTAGTGCACTCACTCTCTTATGTGTATGTTGAAAACTGCACTGGCATTTCATCCCTGCGATCTGTTAGCTAGTTCTGTTCTGATTTGCTGCCTGTGTCCATTTCAGGTATCAGAGAAGCACAACAGCCATATCAGTTGGTATGTAGCTTGTAAATTGTAATGCCATTTCTAGTTCTCTTCGGGTAAGATCACTGTACTGTCCTGTTGGTGCCTGACCTTGCGCATTTGTGTGCAGTTGCTCCGATTTGCTATGCCCATCTTGCTGCTGCTCAGGTGGGCACATTCCTCAAGTTCGAAGATATGTCGGACGCGTCGTCCAGCCAAGGAGGTCATACGTCTGTCGGAAGTGTACCGGTGCCTGAGCTGCCTCGCCTCCATGAGAAAGTGAGGAGCTCCATGTTTTTCTGCTGATCGTGCCGCCTCTCGATCAAATGCTCGCCGACGTTGAGAAATCCGGTGATCGGCCTGGGGGAACTACTAGTACTTTTGCTTCTCATAATTAGGAACATGTATGGAACCTATGTACCTGCCCTTGGCATGCTGCCTGTGTCATGGATTATCTGCTGGTAGGAGTATCCTTTAACCAAACCCTTTTAGCTTTTAAGTTAGGTTTAATGGACTGCTGTTTAGTATGTGGTGTGGTGTTAGTAAGTTTCCAGACTTCGACATTGTGCAGCTATGCCTATTGCTGGTTATGGTCCCTTCCCTTCTATGTAGCATGTGCCGTTTCCCTTTGTCTGAGTTGATTTTAGAAATAGTATCTGATCTGTTCGAGGTTGGGGATGAATGACCAAGGAAATCTTTCCTTGTGGTTATCATGACATCATTGATATCCTCAGGATTACTCATCATCAGTTTACTGACGGGTAAAATATAACTGGCATGGATGAAATTATGACGATTTTCTTCCCACAACAACAGCGGTTGTACAGTGAATTGCTGCTTGCCAGTATATGCTACGCCAAGCCAAATTGTTGTATCACTACCGCTGAAGATAGCAGAGTAGTAACTGCGGATAATAATTAGCATTCTATGCTAAGTTTGGGCTTAAGCAACTTAGTGGTTCGTCATTAGATCATGCCTAGTTATGAATTTTTTTTTAATGAAATACACATTAGCACTTTGGAAAGCGTGCGCATGATTAGCGGAAAAATTTAAGCCAAAATGCTCCTTCAAACTCAACCTTGGCGATTACTAGTGCGAGTTCAGCATTCGTAAGTCATGAGAATAGATAGAGAAAAGTAACGGTACAATGGTAGTCCGACTCCGACCTGTCCATCCACAATTCCACATCCACCAGAATCAGAAGGTGTTCAAAACAACATAAAAGTAGGATGATGGGTGGTGCAGCAAAGCAGCATGCAGGTTCGTTGTGGTTTACCATCTCAGCCCTTTTTCTCTTTACAGCTGAAGGTCACCAGCTGAAGGTCAAAAGATAAGGGCCTTTTTAACCAAAGGATTTTTTGTAGAAATTTTATAGGATTTTTTTTCATATGTGACCATTTAATTCAAAGGATTGAAGGTTTCCAAATCCTATAAAATTCCTATGGAATGACTCATTGCATATATTTTTTGGAGGAAACTTAGCAATTCAAGAGCTTCAATCTCTTGGAAAATTTTCTTTGAGTATATCTTTCTCATCTGATTCCTGTGTTTTTCTTGTGGTCCAATCAAACGGCAATTCCTGTGTTTTTCTTGTGTTTTGTAATCCTCTGTTTTACACTTGTATCCCTGTCAGAATCCTATGTGTCATCCATTTTTTCAATCCTGCGACTCAAATGGTAAATTTCCTCCAAAACTTGAATCCTACGTAGCCCTTTGAATCCTACCTCATGTTAAATTTTCTCCAAAACTTACATTTAAAGGGCTATATAGGAAAAATTCTAAAATCCAATAAAATTTCTATGAACTTCCTTTGAATGAGACATTAATTTTTATAGGTTTTGGCAAAGGTGGATGCCGCGGGGGCCAGGGGTTGGGGGTTGAGAAGCTAGGAGATAGCGGCGCAAGAGTAATTGTTGAAACTGATGCGGTCTACCTGAACGAGCAATTACATTGCAAGCTATGGATGCCTGGATTGAGCTCTATTTAAGGAGAGTACTATAAATTTAAGACAGTTCTATTGTTTAGATAAATAGTACTAGGATATGTCTTATCTTATATTAGATTGGCTATATTTTGGAACGGAGGGAATATCTCCGTTGAACAATTTGTTGCTTCTGTTTGCTCTAACACTTGTAACAAAGGTGATCGACTGTCTTGGACTCGTTTGGTGCTGACGTGCTTTTACCGTGCTTCTGGGCTTCTAGCTCACCATGTTATTGGAGCCAAGCCGGGAAGTCTCTGGCGGTTTGCTTGTAGTTGTGTTTTAATTGTGTCTTTATTACAAAAAAGAGCATTCCGGCCGTTGGAAGATATTGCTATCACATCACATTTTTAGCCTTCTTTCTGACCTTGTTCTATCTCGCTCGTTCTCAGGGTGTCGAATTTAGTGCTTATGATGACAAAGGGTATGTTCACTTTGATGCCAAAAAAAACTATTGCCAAAATTAGTTACCAAAATTTTAGCAGGATTTCTTATATAGTTATCAAAAATTGACAGCAAACTAAATGTAGCCACTTTTTTAACAACTTTACCCAAATTTGGTAAGGTTGAAACATGCCCAAAAATTACAGGGTATGTAACATTTTCTTTCACAAGAGACTGTTCGTGTGTTCCACAGAGATGCAAATATTTTACAGCTGTCTCTACCAGTAGGATTTTACCACTACTTATTATCATCAGTAGAAGTGATTTAATTCATTGATTCATATATTCTATTACTAGCATTACTAGAGAATTAAATTTTTATCCAATGCCTAAACACACAAATATCTCGGATGGATTAAGGACTGGTACTTATGTATTTTTAGTACCGGTTCTAAAAGCCCTAATCCCTAGAAACATCTTTAGTCTCGGTTGTTGATATCAACCGCTATTAAAAACACATTTTTTTTACCGGTGGTAGCACCAACAGAAACTAATGTTAGTGGATCTTCAGTCCTGATTGATGATACCAACTGGTACTTATGTGTTTTTAGTACCGGTTGGCAACATCAACCGAGACTAAAGATATTTTTAGAATCGCTCGGTGTTATCAACCGGAACTAAAGATGCCTCCAGAGTTAGTTTAAAAAGAAAACTTCTCTATTCAACTAATATGTTTAGAGTAGGTGGGATGATAACGTGTGTGAGGGCCAAAGTGATAGATCTTTAGTTCGAATCCTACATCCACATATTTTTTTTAACTTGGTATACATCTTTACTACCGGGTCTTTCAACCGGTACTAAATATCGATATCTTTAGTCTCGATTTGCTGATCACGGTTGCTATAACTGAGATTAATGAGGTTTTCAACCGGTATTAAAGATGAGTTCTCGATTTACTGATCACGGTTGCTATAACCGGGATTAATGGAGGTTTTTAACCGGTATTAAAAATGAGTTCTTTGGTAGTTTAGTAAAAAAAATCTATTAACTTTAGTTAATGTGATAGTATAAATAAGTATAGTAATTCAACTTATTAATAAAGACCACAGCAAAAAATGGTCATGGGAAAATTAAGTGGTGAAAAATGATACATGGTAAATACACATACCAAAGTCCGATCTCTACCCAGCCACCAGCAGGTGTGCAAATCATAGGTATAGCAGAGTGATTTTGGTCCTTAAGGCACTGAAACATAGCAAAATTTATATTTAAGTGGTACCTCTCAAGTGTGGGAAATTTCTCCAGGTTTTGCATGTGTTTGCAATCCTATTTTCCCAACACCTATCCCTCGTTTTCCACGCGCACGCTTTTCAAACTACTAAACGGTACATTTTTTTGCAAAAAGTTTCTATACGAAAGTTGTTTAAAAAAATCATATTGATCCATTTTTGAAAAAAAATTAGCAAATACTTAATTAATCACATGCTAATGGATCACTCCATTTTTCATGCGGGGAGTTTAGTTCCCAACTTCCCATATCCGAACACAGCCGGGTCGTTGTGGTCTACCACCGCATATATATTGATTTAAGGGTTCCTTATAGTAGTCAATTATGTGCAACTATCATTCAATCCTTTCTTTGTACACGTCAAGGTCAAGCTAATCAAATCCATTTTTTTCTTTTAGTTTACCTTTACAACCCACCAAAATACTTTTGATGATGTCTCAGGTAATGTAATCGTGTCCATGTCAGCAATTAGATTAAGCAAAATTTCATTCTTATAAGCCATATGTTTGTCTTGCGTTAACCTTCTTTCTAAAAAAATGTGTTCATTTTGCTTCTCATCTACATTGGGCAATCTCTTTAAACGCTTACATCTATGACACACGCATTATATCACGAAACAACAACACTTGTAACCAAACTCAATCCCTTTGCAATAATAACATGACATAACAGCACGTGTTTACTAGCACTTGTGCAAACTTATTTTTGGCGGGGAAACATAAACACGATTAAATAATTAATCATAGTATGACACAACAGCACTCTAGCTGTTTGATCTTCTCCTTGAGTTCTCGTATCTCCCTCTCCAGATTTTCCTTCTCTTTCTTGAAATCGACCTGCTGATCTTCCTTCTCTTTCTTGAGCTTGCCAGATCTTCTTAAGCTTGGCCTGATCTTCGTTTCGCTTCTTAGTCAGGCTCTCATACCTCCTGGTCAGTTCTTCGTGCTTTTGCCGAAGAACAGGTAGCTCCATCAGCTCTCTGCTCTGCTCCATCAGCACTTTGTTTTGCTTCGACAATGCTTTATTCTGCATCTTAAGTTCTCTGTTCTCCATCTCGTATATAGCTCAGCTCCAAGGATTTGTTTGCTGATGCCTTCCATTATTTTTTCAGCAGCACTGTTTGTTCCTGACGAAGAAGAACTAATAACCTGCAACACAAATTAAGTGTATTAACTATTTCAACCCGGATTCAGACAGAATACAGGAGCAACACGACAGTAAACAAATTTCTTCATGTCTACGACGACTACCTCCGATTTCTTCATTGTGGAATCTAGTGTGCTCCTGATCAGCTTTGCTTGGTAATTCATGCCCTCAATGAATTCGTCTATGGTGCATAGGGTCTGCTTAAATAGATGTTGGGATTTGGGAAAAGCGTGTGCTTATCCAAACTGAAGGATTATTTCTCTGTCATAAGTTAATTGCTGTCCTAAAGGCATTACTATTAAAAATAAGTAGTTATAGTGGGTTGGTGCTGCCCATAGGTGAATTGAAGCCATCAAAGCTAAATTAGTAACAAATTGAAATCTCCCCTAAATATAAACTAGGAAGGTGACCCCACGATGCGTGGGTATCCGTACTTTAATATCTCGCTGCTAGATCATAGGTCTGTTGGGTTTGTTTTATGTTAATACGGGTGTTGACTCAGTTGACTATTGAATCCTAGCTCAGAAATTTCGCATCTCATCAGGCGATTGGCATCGTCGTGACGAGGCGACGGATGACAGCCGAAATGCTCACATCTCGTCTAAAAATTTCGGTTTTTTTATAATTTTTTATGAATTTGGTCAAATTTTATTCAAATTTATTTAAAATCAGTTAAAATTTCAAAAAATTTCGTAGAAAAAAATCTTTCAGAAATTTTGGTTCTTTCGCCCACCTGCGGCAGAAATCTTAGCTTTGAAATTTCAAACCCTGATGACAGCGCTGCCGCACGAGAGCCGGGAGGCATCTGCATCTGGCATTTCCTCTGCTAGTTGCTGCGGCAGCCGGCAAGGGGCAGGCATCAGTAGAAGGCAGTGCAGGCGTGCAGCAGCAACTGCAAGCTTCTGGCACTAAAATGCTTTTACATTCCATTCCACTTGTTTTTCTCCATCTTATCCCCACCTCAAAGATATATAGTCTATTAATCAATCTTAATTCTTTGTTTTGCAGATTTTGTATATATATAGCTATCCTCCTTACACATGTGATATATTGCCGACACTTTATTACTTGAGGTATTTTAATTTTCTGCGTCTCCTCTTCTACTATTTAAGATTGTTTGGAAATGGACAATGTATAATGGATTGTGATCAATAGTTGTTGCCATACTGAATAAATATAGAATTGTGGAGATAAATTGTTTTTTATTTTTTTTATATTGACTCTCGCGGTTGTCCATGGGCCATACTTTTTTTCTGTCCTCCGCCACTGACCGGATGGATGGGTGGGCAGCAAAGCAGCATATGCAGGTTCATTGTGGTGAAATGGGAGAAATAACTGGGAAGAAATGGGAGAAAGAAGGAAGATGACAAAAAAGGGATGGATGGAAAATGTGACGGCAGTAACACGGTCCTAATTTTGTAAAATTCCAATGGCACGGTGGCATGGATCAAATTTACCCTATCATTTAAGTAGCCCCTCTCGATTGCAGGAAATTTTTCCTAGGTTGCATGTAGGTTCGTTGTGGTCTTGCACCACATATATATTGACTACCTTAGGGGTTCCTTGGTTTTACAGGTCAAGTAATTGTTGGAATTAATGAATACTCCATCCGTCCCAAAAAAAGACAAACCCTGGTTTCCGTGCCCAACGTTTGACCGTTCGTCTTATTTAAAAAAATTATGAAAAAAAATAAAAAGACAAGTCACGCATAAAATATTAATCATGTTTTATCATCTAACAACAATGAAAATACGAATTATAAAAAAAATTCATATAAGACGGACAGTCAAAGTTGGACACGCAAACCCAGGGTTTGCCTTTTTTTGGGACAGAGGGAGTAGGCCTTAGCTTACTCGAAGATTAATTCTTTGGAAAATCACAAAAACCCACCTCATGGGATGACATGTATGTGGAGTTTAGTACCACCTTTCTTATTCTAGGAGAGGGGGACCTCCTTAAAAGGGAGGATGACCTCCTAGCCACTTGAAGCATGTGTGGTGGAGAGAAGAGGGGGAACACACGCGCGCGCTCGCTCGCTCGCCTCGCCGGGCCGGCGGCGCGCGTGCACGACGTACGCGTCGAATGATCCGCCAAAATTGGTTCCTCACCTTGAGCAGACGCAGCCTCCTTTTGCAGTTTTGTTTTGCTGCAAATTCGGATTCGTTTTTGTTTTGGAAATATTCCGAAAAATCCGGTGCGTGCAAACGGCGTGGAGTCCGGATAAGTTACGCGCGACATATCCGGTTCGGTTACGCGCAGTGGAGATCGTGCGGGCGTCCTGATCAAGCGACCCTTCTCTATATAAACCGACCCGCCGTCTTCACGCAACATACACGAAATCAATCTAGGGTTTGCCTCCTCCTCTGTGCTACACCGTCGCTCGTAGACTACTCCATCCCGCTCGCTGGCGTGCACCTAGATCGGGAGAGCAGGTCTCCGGATCCTCTGCCTTCGACGTCCTGCACCGGGAGAAGGCGGCAATAAGGTTTTTGGGAATCGCTTTGCGCGACTGCTCCCTGTTCGTCCGCGACGGCTCGTCTTCCTCTTCGCTCGCGTGCTGCGTGCCTTCGTAGACGCCTGCGAAAAGTTTCGACCGAGCAGCCGGTCTTTCCGCCACCTCGGTACGTGTTCAATATGTTGCGCATATTTGATCTGTTCATGTTATACTGTGTAGTTTACATGTGTAGATCTAATGATGCGTTCATGCTAGTTTTCATCTGTAATGTCATGATTTATTTATGGAATAGATTAAATCATTATATGCCTATAATGTCAACAGTAATCAATTATTTGCGACTATCATTCGATCCTTTCTTTTTTACAGGTCAAGGGTCAAGCTAATCAAATCCATTTTTTCTTTTTAATTTACCTTTACAACCCACCAAAATACTTTTGATTCTGTCACAGGTAATGTAGTTGTCCATATCAGCAGTTAGATTGAGCAAAAGTTCATTCTTAAGCCATAAGTTTGTCTTGCGTTAACCTTCTTTTGAAAAAAAAAATGTGTTTATTTTGCTTCTCATCTTACATTGGGCAATCTCTTTGAACGCTTACATCCATGACAACATCATAAAAGTAACTACAAAAACTCTGTTTGAAAACATCTATCACACATGCATTATATCATGAAACAACAACAGTTTTAACCAAATTCAATCCCTTGCAATAATAACATGACATAACAGCACGAATTTACTAACACAGTAACACTGGGCAGTGTGCAAACTTATTTTTGGCTGGGAAATTAACACACACAATTAAATAATTAATCATAGTATGACACAACAACACTCTAGCTGTTTGATCTCCTCCTTAAGTTGTCGTATCTCCCTCTCCAGATCTTCTTTCTCTTTCTTGAAATCGACCTGCTGATCTTCCTTCTCCTTCCTGAGCTTGGCCAGATCTTCGTTTCGCTTCTTAGTCAGGCTCTCATACCTCTTGGTCAGTTCTTCGTGCTTTTTTCGAAGAGCAGGCAGCTCCATCAGCTCTTTGCTCTGCTCCATCAGCTCCTTGTTTTGCTTCGACAGCTCTTTGTTTTGCCTCTTAAGATCTCTATTCTCCATCTTGTACTGCTCAGCTCCAAGGATTTGTTTGTTGATGCCTTCCATTATGTTTTCAGCAGCATTGTTTGTTAACGATTTTCCTGACGAAGAAGAACTAATTACCTGCAACACAAATTAAGTGTGTCAATTAATTGAACCTGAATTCAGACAAAGAGTACAGGAGCAGGAAACAGATTTCTTTTCATGTCTACCACCTCCGATTTCTTCATTTATGGAATCTAGTGTGCTCCTGATAAGCTTTGCTAGCTTGCTAATTCATGCTCTCAATTCGTCTATGGTGCCTAGTCTCTACTTAAATAGATGTTGGATTTGGTCATTACGTGCTTATCCAAACTGAAGTATTCTTTCTTCGCCATAAGTCGGTTGCTTTCCTAAATAAATTACTATTAAAAATAAAGTAGTTATAGTGGGTTGATGCTGCCCATAGGTGAATTAATTGAAGCCATCAAGCTAAAGTCATAATAAATTGAGAACTCCCCTTGATACGAATACATAAAGCTTATCCTATTTTCGGCTTTATCCTTCACCTTTTTTACAAGAAGTTACTCACGAAGTCGAACTCAATTTTCTTTCAAATTTATATCCGCTAGGAACGTTTTGTTTGACACTCCGTCTTACATGTGACATGTGGTACCCTATAAAGTATGAACGGTCATGATATCAGAGCTGGTATCTGGTACTTACAGATATCAGTTCTAGTATTTGGTTTTTAGATTTGGCACTCACATGTACCATATCTTATACATACATATATAAAAATGGTTTGCTGCATGGTACCGGATTGATGGGTGGGTGGGCAACAAAAGCAGCATATATGCAGGTTCGTTGTGGTTTACAACCATTGTGGAGAAGAATCGGGATGGATGGAGATAGATTGGATTATATAGATGGAGGACTCCTTAATCTAATCCTAACAAAGCTTATCTAATTCTAACAAACCCTAATCTTATCCAATGGGCCTAAGACACCCGGCCCAAAGCCCATGACACATTGACTAACGTGATCTTTCGCTCACTTGTTTTACAGGTGAAGTCAATTATGTGTGACTATAATCGATACTACGTACTGTCTCTTTTTGTTTACAGGTCATGGTCAAGCTAATCAAATCTAGATTTCGCCTTTCAATTTATCTTTACAGTAAGTGATAATACTTTTGAGGGCCAAAAACGCGTACTTGATCAGGTGATGTAATAATATTCCCCACGTCAGCAATTCGACGTGTCTTTGCATCAAGTCATTATTTAATTCAAAGCAGCAGTCTATTGTTGATAGGTACATATTCTCAGTTGGCTTTGGACTATCTCACTTGTACATGCAGGTTCCAAATAAATCATGAACAACTTTAAAAATACAAAATTGTTATTATAAAAGAAAATCTAATTATAAGCTAACCATTAGACCCCTGCACCCACATGCATCTGCAACTGCATATAATACAATCCTCATTTAAAAATGTTTAAATAACACACTACTAGAAAAATGATTTTAGCAATGTTGGCCTTTTATTTTTCCAGGCAGGTATGATTATTGGAGCCAAATGGCCGCCTACAAAAATGCAAACCCGGTTGAAACTCGCTGTTCGCCTGCGAAAATCTATTTTCGCAGGCGGACACTTAAGCTGAATGCCTGCAAAAATACCCTTCATTTTTGCAGGCGGACCTCTTATATGGTCCGCCTGCGAAAATTGGCGTGGAATATAAATACAAAGGCATCATCGGTGATTTTTTCTAAGTCCCCTCCACCTCCCCTCTCCCCGGCCGCTGGCCGGAGGCGACGCACCCTAGCGTGGGCAACGGAAGGTGGCGCGGGCAGCGGAAGGCGGTGTGGACACGGGGCGCACGGAAGGCGGTGCGGACGCGTGGTGGCCTACAGCGCGGGGCGGCGGCGGTGGCCCCCCTCCCTCCCAGATCTGGCCAGAGGGGGGAGGGGGAGGCCGGTGGTCGGCGGCCGGCGGAGCGGGGCGGTCCCCTCCCTCCCCTCTTGTCCCAGATCTAGCCTGGAGGGGGGATGGGTGGATGTGCCTGGTTGGCCAGTTGCCTGGCTGGTTGCGGGGCTGGCTCCCCTCCCTCCGTCCCTCTCAGATTTGGCTGGATGGGGAGGGGGAGGCCAGTGGCCAGCGGTTTGGGGCGGACCGGCAGCGGCGACGGCGAGGAGAGTGGAGTCGGCGGCGTCTCCCCTCCCTCCTCCCAGATCCGGTGGTGCGGAGGGCGGTTGCGGCGGCAGCTACCGCCAGTGACGGTAAGGGTGGAGGCGGCGCGTTTGTTTTGATTTTTGAAATGATTTTGAAAATTATTGTGATGCGTTTGATTTGATTTGTGAATTTGATTGTGATGCTACTATGATGGTTTTGTGAATTTGTGAACTACTGGATTGGATGGGGGAATGGGAGGAGAATGGGAAGCCGGCGCCGGCGGCGTCGCCAGCAGGTAGCGCTGGATTTTTTTGTTGTTCTCTATTTTCGCAGGCGGGCCGCGGACCCGCCTGTAAAAATCGCCTATTTTCTCAGTCGATAGGATAGCGGCGGAACTCTCCCCCGCCTACGAAAACGGTTTTTGGCCGCCTGTAAAAACTATTTTTCTAGTAGTGACGTATGATTGAGAACTACTCAGGTTTCATGATGATAATTGGATTAATCAAAAGTTCATTCTTAAGCCATAAGTTTGGCTTGCCTTATTCTTCTTTGCAAAAATGCGTTATTTTTCTTCTCATATTACATGGGCAATCTCTTTCAACGGTGACATGTATGACATCATCAGAAATGTTTCATCACAAAGTAATTACAAAATTCAGTACTATAACTAGGGTTTAATGTATCAGTTTTACTAATCGCGAGGGGGGGGGGCATGCAACCGAAAATTACAAAAAAATTTCGAAACTTTGAAAAAATTCGGTCAAATTTCACAACTACAAAATATTAAATAGGGGACAATATTTTAAGTGCCAGAACGTCTAGGATCGGCTGCCTGATAAGACAAACGCACCAACAGAAAACAAAGTGCATGCATTACATCAGGAAACAGCGCAACACTTCTCAACCAAACTCAAACCTAGCATGCAATAATCTGACATAACAGCTCGCGTTTACTAACACTAGGCCGTGCGTAAACTCGTTCATGGCTAGGAAAATACACACAATTAATCATAGAATTACACAACTGTCACAACAGACCTGTTCCTCTAGCTCTTTGATCCTCTCCCGAAGCCCTCGTATCTCCTTCTCCATATCTTCCTTCTCCTTCTTGAGCTTGGCCAGATCTTCGTTCCGTTTTTTGGTCAGATTTTCATACTTCTTGGTCAGATCTTCATACTTTTTTCAAAGAGAAGGCAGCTCTTGGTACTGATCCATCAGCTCCTTGTTCTGCTTCGACAGCTCCTTATTCTGCCTCTTGAGATCATTGATCTCCGTCTTGTGTTGCTGGAAACCGATGATTTGTTTGCTGACGCCATCGATAAAATTATCAGTAGCATTGTTTGTGACCGATCTTCCCGACGATGAAGAAACAGTGACCTGCAACAAAAAGTATTATTGAATTGCACCTTTAGATCCCAATAAAAAGAAATGAAAATTAACAAGCACGACAAATTTAGACAAACATATCTAACACGATAGCAATCAAATTTCTTCATGTCCATGACTACCTCAGACTTCTTCATTGTGGAAACTAGTGTGCTCTTGATCAGCTTTGCTAATTCATGCTCTGAATTTGTAGAATGAAGCCTGGTATGCACTTAAATAGGCGTTGGGATTTGGCATTGGGCAATGCGTGCTTATCCAAACTGAGTGGCTCTTTCAGTCTTTCTCCGTCATTACTCAGTTGTTGTCCTAAAGAAATTATTATTTAAGATAAAGTAGTTATATATAATGGGTTAGTGCTTGACACACACACAGATATATATATGTGTGTGTGTGTCAACTGAACCTACCAAGCTGAAGTCATAATTAATTAAATTGAGAAACCCCCTCGATATAAATACATAAAGTTTCCTTTATATTCTTCATGGTCCTTAGCCTTTTCGTGGGTTTCTGTCCTTATAAAAGCTCTGTGAATATGTTCTCTCTGCTCTATCATTATATATACGAGTTAAAACTTTTGCCTTTTTTTTAAAAAAAAAACCTTATCGTGCATATCTTTATGGTGCTGTCTATTAATTAATTAGTAGTATTTGTTCATCAACAGGTTATATTTACCTATTTTCCACTCTTTGCCAGATATATTTAATCCCTCTTACAAAGTGCCATAAGGTCAATTGTTCCACTGTCAGTAATATCACCAGGTAAATGATCTAACCCATTGATTGTGTTCTAATTTCAATATAAACAATTAATTTTTTTTAACTACTAGTACTACTAGTTAAGGTGTACTAAAAGTAGAAATAGATATAGTTTATTGGGTAAGAAAAAGAGTCCCAATAATTTCTACTATCTGTAGAAAACACTATCAAGGGTTCACTAGCTATCTCTTTGTGCTCACCGGCCCGTTCCCTTTTATTAGGACCGAAACGGTCATTTTTAATTCCTTTGCTGACGTAGAATGGTCTCTTGTCATCATTGTGACATACTCCCTAAATTTCTAAATGATCTTCATATTTCACCTAAGCAGCAAGACCAAGGAGCAGTTACTATCCCATCTATCCGTGCATGTCGCTTCATCAATTTTGCATGCCGCGTGCACCAGCCAATCAGCTATAATGCATTAATTCCACGCATGCAGCAGCTCCCAACTTAACTCTCACAGAGCCAATGCATGCATGTAGTGCTGCTTAATACGAAGCGCCATTATCGTCTACCCATGATTTCTGCTGCTTCCTAATGAAATACGAAGATCAAATTGAAACTTTTTACTTTTGGTAATGCGAAGATCATTTAGAAATGGAGGGAGTAGTACACATTTATATACTAGTTATCGTGCACGTGCAAGGCACGTTTTGGCATTATATATATATCCGATTATTTGTGAAGAACGTGGAACTAGACAGCAAATTTATGTCCACAAGGGTGCCAAATGAGTAGCAGTATACTGAAGCACCAATTGTATGAATTGATTGAACCAAAATGGAAGCAAAAGGAAACATACTCAATGAATGCCTCGATATCTATGAACTCACCGAGAATCAGAATCAACTTGCTACAAGCGAAAGGCTCGAAGAAATAATACAAAACCTGTCTCGAGGGTGGAGGTAGGAAAAAACACATTTGGTGGGTCTGAACTTACACTATCCTCTCCATCGTATGAACATGCCGGTAAAACTGCAAAGAAATCCAGGTTGCACAATCAATATCAGTGTAAAAAAATATGAACATGAAGTCACTTACTGTTGTATCAAAAATAAGATAAGACTATTGCTGAATATCTTAGTTGAATAACCAAAGAAGCTGGACATAGACCTATCAACCTTTCTTCTTCCATCCCTGCAGCAGCATCGTCCTGGATAGGAAATTGTCTTGCATGTATATATACAGGGTTTCATAATTTGAGATTAAAAAAAGTGGGATCCAAATATTTCAGAAATAGGTTATCACTATTTATCATGGGATTAGATGGAGATGTACCAAATTTTAATTCAGATGGTACATGAGCAACATATTATTACCTCACAATAATATCTCAATAATATCTCAAGAAGCTTCTGAAACTTGAAAATTATATATTGGTAAAGTGGTAAACAAGAAACGCTGAGAAATGGAAATGCTTTGCAGAGCTCCTGCCAGGAAAAAATTAAAATTGTGCCATCAGTATTCAGTAACTTATAAAACAAATAGCTTTATTTGATGAGAGGCATACATGGATATTGCAAAGTTTTATTCACTCCAAATCTGAAGATGTACACATTGGCCTAAATATATATAAATCTCCAGACATAAACAGGTGACCTTATAATATGTATAAACCTCAAGATATACACAAGTGACCAGAAGATTGACACAATAATTGATTTACTTTTCCACTTGAACTGAAAAGGTTGTGTATGGTCCAAACAGAATGAAAACCAGTCACATAAATTGTTTCAGTAGAGAGATGGGTACCATTCCCTGGTCTCCCAAGCAGACTACCATTCCAAAGATCATATAAAGTGCTGACGACATCAATCCAAAGTGGCAAGCAGAATGATCTATACATGGATGTGTTAAACTTAACTCGACCTTGTCAAGTCATCAACTCTGATTCGATGAACATTCATTCCTTTTTATATATATCCTCGATTAAAATTTCTGATAACATCAACCATAAACCATGGCCACGGGGAATTCCTTTTTCTCTGGCTATCTCATAATGCATATAGAAACCAAGAATTTAAGACAAATAAATTAGAGATGTAAAGTAATTGTACCTTTAATGCAACCAGATTCAAAGGTCGGATGCTTTGTATATAAAGATTTACAGGATTATAGAGGACTTCGATGAGATATGGATCAACAATGCCAATGAAGATGGCATGCCATCATGGGATTAAACCTAAATAATCTGATGATCAGTCTGAAGACCACATATATCACCTTAGCAAAGACAATAAAAGAACATCAATACCTCCAAACAGAAGCATTATGGTGATTGACAAATGGTGGGTGCAAGAGATGCATATAATAGGTTAAGAACTGCGTACCAGATTGGGGTTAGCCGATGGATTCACAGGAGGGACAGAGTCGTTGCCATACTTGTTGCCGTACCTTGCCATAGTGTTCATTGTAGCGATCATTGCTGAGTCAGCAAACATTTAAATGATCTATCAGAAATGAAATAGATATATGCTGCATGAGAAATAAGCTAATCATTACTTCTTTCTAAATAGAATTCTTTCTGCCACCATATATGCGTCCTCCATTGGTGGATGCTCTGTAGAAGATGTATAGAGGACAATATGCTATGAGCAACAAAAACACGCACACACAGAGTGAAAAGCAATAATAAAGCAATCATTTGTTCTTTTACTTGAACAGGTCAATCATTTGCTCGCATGTAAGGAACTATAATATTTAAATAATTATCATTAGATTGGGTTGGTCCTAACAACAATCAACCAAGGAATTTGAAAGCATGAACAAAATACCAAAAACTGAAGCATGTTAATGTCAGTAGATCAACCCTACATATCATGTGGCTCATGATTTTTTTTCCAGACCTTGGAATATTTGTCATAGTATGCGAATCCATCTGCGAGCGAGCTCAGCCTAGCCATCACCAATCCTGTGAGTCATGAACAGAAGATTGGGGGGAATACACAGAAAATCAACCAACGTTGATTATAATTAATTGGAGGAAAGGGGTGAAATACCTATGTGATATAGGAAGTGAGGGCTCCAGTACCCAAGGAGATCAAGATGGCATCACTCTTGCTAAAAACATCCAGCAATGTCTGCTGCCATGGAACGGGATAGAGAGAAACCTGCCTAACATGCATAATCCAGTGCTTAGGTGGGGAGAGGAGATCTCAAGGGAACCCGATCATGTGGGAGGAGGTCTTGACACAGCTAGGTTAGTAAAGATAGCCATGGCTGCATACATATAGAAACAAGCAAAAAAGTGGTAGCCATTACTTCATTTCGACCTGTAAATGTAAAATCTGATGGCAGAAAATAAAACCAATAAGCTGCAGAAATATTGCATATCTGAAATTTCAGGATTCAGATATTCTTCTATTTTCGTCAGAACTATTGCATATCCTTCTGCAACTAAAACTTGATTGAGAGCTGGCAGTTAGGTTAATCAGAGACATTCAACTGCATTGCCTGGAGATAATTCAACCACTGGAGAAATTTTGTGATGCATTTTCAGTTTTTCAGTACAGTATGGCAGTAACCTGTGACAGCGGTGGAGTTCGGCGGCTCTCGCCAGCGGTGGAGTGCACGGCAGCGGCGACGGCTGGGGACAACCTCGGCTCCATCGGCGGCGGCTGATGGGGAGGACGTCGGCTCGCCAGCGGTGGAGTGCACAGCGGCAACGGTGGCTGGGGACGACCTCGGCTCCATCGGCGGCGGCGGATGGGGAGGACGTCGGCTCGCCAGCGGTGAGTGCACGATGGCGATGGTGGTGGCGGCGGCGGCGGCGGCGGCGGAAGGGGCCGCCCTTGGCGCTGGCCGCGGCGGATGGGGCCGGCCATGGCAGATGGTAGGATCCGGCGGCGGCAGGAGAAGAGGTCGGCGTGGGCAGCGGCGGCGGTGCCGGAAGGGGACCTCGGCTCCGGCGGCGGACGGAGAAGAAGGCGGCTCCGGCGAGGATGCGGCGGCGCGGCGGCAGTACAGAGGAGCGAAGTCTTTGCGCGTGGATGGGCGAAGTCTTCGCGCGTGGATGGGGAGTAGTTTTCGCGGCGGTACTCAATCGTGCGGCGGTGAAATCGTGCGCGCGGATGGACGGTAGGGATTGATCTGGATGATTTCACCTGTAGGATTGCAAGGAGACAACTCCTCCTTTTTATATTAGTATAGAAAGCAGGGAACATTCATCAATCGCCGTTGTTTATTTAATTAGTATAACCGCAACCGGTTTATGAATTTTCTCGTACTGGCTGAACGTTTGCATGATCCTAGCCGCCAACTTAGGCAGCGTTCGTTTGGAGGATATTGAGGGAGAAAGCACGTCGTTTTCCGCACGCACGCTTCCTAAACTACTAAACGGTGTATTTTTTACAAAAATTTTCTATAGGAAAGTTGCTTTAAAAAATCATATTAATCCATTTTTAAAATTTAAAATAATTAATACTCAATTAATCATAAACTAATGGCTCATCTCGTTTTGCGTATCTTCTCAATCTCCTCAATCCCCTTCTTCTCAAATACACCCTTAGACTCTGAGCATATAGTATCTTTTTCGCTTACTTGTGTGTTCCAGTTTACTAAGTCTTGATTTTGTTCCATGTTCCATTATATTAAGTGGGGGTGCAATAAATAAGGTTTCTTCGGGCTCAAGGGTTCACACCATCAGCTCTATAGGCTGTGTCCACGCTAAAATTGGAAGTTAAAAGAAATTGGAACAATGTGACGGAAAATTTGAAAATTTGTGTGTGTAGAAAAGTTCGATGTGACGAAAAAATTGAAAGTTTGAAGAAAAAAAAGTTAAAATCTAAACAGGGCCATAGTCGAGATGAGAAATAACACAATCTAGGGGAGAGGATTCTAATATCTCGTGATGTTGACATCTGTATATACCTTTTGCCACTCTCTTCGTCTTCGAAATTTTCAAAATCTCACATCTGAGATAATTTTCGTTGCTTCGACCACTCGAAAAAAAAGAGAAAACCAAGTAAAACACTAATAATAAAAATACTATTACTAATAATTAAGACAGACATTGGATAGGCCTTAATTTTTGGAAAATTTGGAGACTTGACGGGATGGATCGGAGTTACGGATTAGGAGATGTGATTTTTGGAAGATAAAATAATTTTCTAGATAATTAAAATCATTGAAAGGACGAGAAGCTAGCAGGTGAGGTCGGGAAAAAGGGAAACTAATTAGACATTTTCTTTTTGTTGAGAGTGTAGTTGGGCTTGGGTCTGTTGGGCCGGAGGTGAGGAGGAAGGTAAAAACATGACATATATTTTATTGGAACAAGTTCACTGTAGCTCTCTCATTTTTATGCTGAATTTAAATCACGTGCTCAATCGTAGTACTAAATATAACGCATGTCTCAACTTATAAAACCGGTGTACCTAGAGATTTTAGACAGTATAGTGCCTAGTTTAGTTGATGTGACGAGTGAGACCAACGTGAACCCCATGTATATATATATATCCTCCAACCCCCTTTCTCCATCTTTGATACTTTTCTCTCCATCTCCGACACTACCCACACTCCTCCTCATCTGTGCCGCCTGCCGCAACCGTGGCCTTGCCGCAGGAAGGGAGTCCCTTCCTCCGCCTCCCCACGTTGCCACCTAGCAGCTCCCTAGCTCTGCCTCCGACGGCCTCATCCGCTCCTTCAACCTCCACCCGCGTGACGCCTCGCCCTCGCCCTGCCATGGTTGCGGCGATAATGACGTTCTGATCGGGACCATTGTCGAGAGGCCCATCCACACTCTTCTTGCGCCGTCCTCTTTCTCGCGTGAGACTTGGCCAAGGCGAGGCGAGGGGCATGGGTCCACAGCGTGGTTGTAACTGGTTGCTGTGTTGGACGTTCATGGCGAGACAGCTGCGCGGAGTGCGCACGCGGGGGATGCGGTGATGCCACGTGGTCAGCTGTTGGACGTTCACGACAGCAACGATGCTATGACATCAGCGCTTAGTAAATACTCCCTCCCTCGGTTGCATGTTATAAGATGTTGGTTAAAGTCAAGTTGCTTTAAGTTTGACTAAATTTATAGACAAATATAGTAATATTGATATTACCAAATTAGTTTTATTAAATTAATAATTAAATATAATTTTATAATAAATTTATCTTGGGTCGAAAATTACTATTTTTTTCTATAAACTTGGTTAAACTGGAGCAGTTTGACTTTGACCAAAGTCAAAACATCTTAGAACCTAAAACGGAGGAAGTATGTTCTTGCACGGCGCGCCTGGAGCCGATATGCAATGGATTCCTTCCATGGCCACGCCACACGGTTGGTGGTAGTACACTCGTACTGCATCTGCATGACTGGGTGAGCGAAGGCCGGCGAGGCAGAGCATGGCGAGAAGAAGCGGCGGCCAGTGATGGTGGGAAGATGATCTTGTTGGTAGGTGTAAACCTTGGAGCTCGGGATTGGCTTGGAAGATGGTGGTTGGTTGTGGTCACCTTGCATGCTTCTGCTGCAGCGGTAATTAAGGAGGAGGAGATCTCATCAGTGCACGACGATGTCGAATGCGTGTTTGCAGCTTTAGGAGCTTGCCGCCGAGTGGTATGGCAAGTAGATGCTTGCTGGCAGAGGAGCTCGCACGGTGGCCGTTGTCGGCGGAGTAGCTCGGACGGTGGCCGCGGCGACATTGCCGACGACTTCGCTTGCAATGGGGTTAGTTGCTGCCATTGCTTCATGGTAAGTGTAACTTGTTTTTATTTTGTTATTCTTTTTGGGAATAGCCCGGACCATATGGGTCCCACTCGCCCCGTTAGTCAAAACCGAACACTAGTGCCTGAGACATTAGGTACACCAATTTTACAAGTTGAAGGCAGCATTATATCTGGTATTGGGTTCGAGGATGTAATTTAAACTCGCGTCAAGATGAGGGATCTATAGTGGACTTATTTCTATTTAATTTGGGTGAAAGGGTTATTGGGCTTTTTGATTCTGGAAGGAGGCCGAGACCGATTTGGCCTGGTAGCGTCATGGGACGGCCCAGAGCGGAGGCCTGCATCACAAGCAATGTGATGTAAGATTCTATCTTTTTCTTTCAATAATCAAAATGTGAGGTTTGTTTGAAAACTTTTCAGCCATGACAATAGATCTAAAATCGTCAAACATCAAATCGAATAACGTGGCTCTGATACCACTTGCATGATTAAACAAGACCAAACAAACCTACGAGAGAGGGGGTGAATGGTAGGGAAAACCAAAAACCCTAAAATCTTTTGCGTAATAAAGATTTACCTCGAATGGAGTAGATGGCGAAGCCCTTCACCGCCCGGTCAAGCCGCACCAAATACGCCAGTCAGACCGTTGTTGTCTGACCGATCAGACCACGCGCACACCTGTGGTTAGATCACTGCTCTCCCACCGGTCAGACCATCGCCTTGCCTTCGGTCAGACTGTCGGGACCCAAAAAACACCGGTAGATGACAAACTCGAAGATGTAGATTGAATATCTCGACTTTATTGCATCAACTTGTGTTTACAAAGTGCACCAAACTAATCTCCAAAACCTAACTTTTCTTTTAACGCAACTCTCTCTAAATCGATACCGGGTGGCCACACCCTCCCTGTCTATTTATACACGAGGTAGGCTATGCAAAATCCACGAATCTAACATGACTTAGGACTCCTAACCACGTGGGAAACCCTCTCTTGCAAGTATCCAACTTATCTCTTTCCTTATCTCTATCAATCTTCCCGAATTCGGACTCCCTTCCAAATTCAACTACTTGTTCCATACGTACACAATTCATCTTGTATACCATATAGATTCTTCATCACCACGTGCATTGTTCTCCATCCTTTTAGTATCCCGCATGACCTTTTGATCCCTGGACGTCTACTTCTCCTAAGTCGACTCTGATCTATCATCGGCAACACTCTCTCGAGGCCTCAAGCAACACCTGCATATGCAACAACCAAGATACCATATGCTGAGCACAAGTTCGTCCCAACTTAACTAACATTAGCATAACAATAGTATCCATACGTATAAAAACCATCTAAAAGTCAAATCCACAAAGAAACTATTCAAAACCAAGAAGATAACCGAAACCGACATCGAACAGGAACCTGCCGGTTAGATCGTCAGGCTGGCCGGTCTGACCGCCGCATGACATGCGGTCTGATCGGCAGCACTAGGCCGGTCTAACCGCTCGGGTCAACCGAACTCGCTCCGTCCACAAAATCAACCGCCTATCGAACACCAAAATGTCATCATGAAATGTCACAAACCACCAATGTTTTCGTCATACAGAATCTAAATCAACTTCTTGATTTTACACATCGTACGAAGGTGGGAAAACGGTTAATATGTGTCGGGTTTAAATGAATTGGTACCTATAAGCCGGTTCCTCTATATTAGGGCACTACTACAAAAACCCTCATAGGGACCGGCTCATAGGTGCCGGTCCATTTAAAACTGGCACTTATAGAGCTTTTCCCACCTCCTATCAATGAAAAAGTATAGAACCGGCACCTTTAACCATGCTAGAACCGGCACCTATAAAAACCCGGCACCTATAATATATTATAGGTATCGGTTAATTATAGGACCGACACCTATAATATATTATAGGTGCCATTTTCTAAAAAAACCGGCACCTATAGCTTTTGAGCCGATCGATCGAGCCGAGCCGAGCCGAGCCGAGCCGAGACAAATGTGCACCGCACCCGGCCGGCCACGATATATCTATCGTCCTTATCTACTCCCTCCCCTGGCTTCTCGATTTCTCCCTCTCTCTCTCGAGTCTCTCGATCTCCCTCCCCTCTCTGTCGCAGCGCTTGGTGGAGGCAGGGTGGCGGCGGCGGGATCTCGCAGCCAGTGAGCAGCGGCGGCGGGCTCCTTCCCTTCCCCCTCTACCCCCCTCCTGAAGGGCGGCGTCCCCACGGGCGGCGCGTGGTGAGGCGGCGGATCCGGTGGGTCTTTGGCCGGATCTGGCCTCCCCTCCACCAGATCCGGCGGCCCGGCGTGCGGCTGGCGGGAGGGGAGGCAGCAGCGACGTGCGGCGGCGGCGGGAAGGGAGGTGGAGGCGGCAGCGGCGTGCGGGGTGCTGGCGGGAGAAGAGGCGGAGTGCGGCCGCGATCTCCCCTCTGCCAGATCCGGCTGCCCGCCGTGCGGCGGTGGGAGGGGAGTGCAGCGGCCGGCGTGCGGCGACGTGCGGGAGGGGAGGCGGCAACGGCTGGCACGACCTCTGCCAGATCTGGCCGCCCGGCATGCAGCGACGGGACAGGAGGCTGTAGCGGCGTGCGGCGACGGCGTGTTCATGTTTGTGTTTAAATAAATTTGTGGTTGTGGTTGTAGTTATGATGATGCTCATGTTCTTGAGTTCTTGATGCTCATATTTTGTGGGTGAAATCGGGAGCTTCTCTATGCATTGTTGTTGTTATTGATGTGTGATTAGGCTTTTGATTTTGGATGTGAGGATGTGAGGATGTGAGGATGTGGAGGGTTCTGGATTCGGCTCGATTCGAGCCGGGTTTTTTTTGGCTCGTGCAGACATAAAGGTGCCGGTTGATAACTGGCAATAGGTGCCGGCACTAATAGGGTTTTCTGTAGTAGTGGGGGTTTGTAGTAGTGTGTCGATTGGGCTAGTGAGCTATATATGAGCTCAATTGCTACAAATAAATTCTGTCGGGTGAACAAAACAAGGGAACCATAGTGTAAGCTTCACTGCGCCCACCACGTGGTAAACAAATATTGCATGGCACGCCGCATGTGGAGTCGAAGCTGTTGGTAATTAATTAAGGAGGTCGATGCTTGCTTACCAAATTCGATTACCACCAAACCAGTTAATTATCAGCAGGCAATGCAGGACGCAATGTTATCTGCAACAATAGAAGAAAGGGAGCACATGTAGCTGTTCTGAGTCGCAGCTTTTTCAAAATGCATGGATATACTGCTTGGACTTTCATGCGGCCCACACTCTGTTTGTTTCCATTCTAATTGTAGTTCCTTAGGTCGATCAGATTTTAAATTCTGGAGTGAAATTTTAGTTTTCTGTCGTCCCACCTGGCAGAATATTCTTTGCAGCATTTTTTTCAGTTCAGAAAAAAATGTTTATATTCTTACAAAATATGCTCGAAACTTCAGTTCTATTTCCGCCGTTACGCGCGCAGGAAATGTTTTTAATTTTTGCAATAATATTGAAACTCAGTGGTGTAAATTAAGATGATGTAATTTGAAATGTTGTAAGATAAAACATGAAATGAAGAACAAACATTCCTTATGATTATGATAAGAGAGTACTATCCTTCAAGGAAACTAGTTAACTACTAACTAGATTCACTTGGAGGTTTGGAAGAAGAGTTTTAGGAAATACAGCTGTGGCAGAAGCAACTGGGATCCCACATATATATTCCACTGCATGGTAGTGAACTAGTGATGCTCATGTGATCCCATATATATAAGATATAGTTGTACAAACAACTGATATTTGTAGATCAGTGCGTTACCTTTAGTCCCTTTAGTTTGTTTGTATTACGTGGCTAGCAAAAGCACAGTTGTATACCTAGTACATCCTTGCTTAGAACAGCGCAGGTGAATAAAAAATGGTTTGATCATCATGCTAGCATGCAATGTATTACCTCCATATTTTAATGTATGACGCCGTTGACTTTTTGTCTAACGTTTATCCATTTGTCTTATTGAAAAAAATATGTAATTATCATTTATTTTATTATGACTTGATTCATCATTAACTGTTCTTTAAGCATGACATAAATATTTTCATATTTGCACAAAAATTTTGAATAAAACGAATGGTCAAACGTTGGTCGAAAAGTTAATGGCATCATACATTAAAATACGGAGAGAAGAGAGTAGCATATTAGCACACTTTTGACTAATGAAATGTAAAGCGCATGCATGCAATAACAGAGATACTAGTGAAATGCCCAGATCCCTATAAATCCTGGATGGCTACAAGCATTCTTAAACACCAAGGTACCAGTGTACATCTTGTTTGCTGTTGTTCTAGCACTTGTAGATTCTAATCAGCTTGATATATAGTGATATATATCAGTCAGGTATACTCCATCAGTGGCAAATTAACTGTAACGCCATCAGCTTCAACAAGCGCATGGCCGGTACGTACGTCTCGTACTCTCGCGGTTGATTGTTCATAAATTACGTCCTGCTCGACTAGTAATTAACCAGATTCAGGCATTAATTAGCAGGGGCGATGCCTGGATGGATGAGCACCCTGATGTCCATCAGAAACTTCATGTTTTCGATCCGGGGAGTGGTAGCCCTCAGCTTCATCGCTCACGTCGTCCTCGTGTTGCTCGCCGGAGTCCGCCGCCGTCAGGCCACCGGCGGTGCGACATTGCTGCTGTGGTTGGCGAACCAGATCGCCCGTTGGGCGCCGACCGCCGCGCTGGGCATAATAACCAACTACAGCACGGTGGCCCATGGGAGGCTGCAGGCGACGCTCTGGGCGGCGTTCATGCTGCTGCACGCCGCCATGCCGGACAACATCACCGCCTACGCCCTGGAGGACAGCGTCCTGTCGCTGCGGCAGAGGGTAGACGTGATTGTTCAGGTGTTTGGACCCGTGTCGCCTGCCTACATCCTGTACCTGAACACGGTCGCCATGCCTGGCGACTCCATGCTCTGGGTCTCCTCCTTCGTCTGCCTCATGGCTATCGCCAAGTACATGGAGGGCGCGTACTACGCGCTGCAGCGAGGGAACCTGGAGAACATGAGAAGCTCAAGAAAAAAGGAGGAGAAGAAGAAGGTGATGATCAGTAGGAGCCTCCAAAATGCTAGCCGGGGTGGCAGGAAGCCGGATGATGAGCAGATCCTGCTCATTGCTCATGATATGCTCTATATCACCAAGAATGCCTTCATGGATTTTTTGGACAAAAAGAGTGATGATGATGACGAGCAAGAGGCACTCTCTGGTACATGGGATGAGACACTGTACAAGGTTGTCAGCATGGAGCTCTCCCTCATGTACGACATCCTCTACACCAAGAAGGTCATGGTACAGACTTGGGGTGGCTACGCCATCCGTTTTGCCTCTCCATTCCTCGGAGCAACTGCATTCCTGCTGTTTTGGTTCCACAGCAAGCAAGGCCAGGCGACGGCGGACGTTGTTATCACCTACGTCTTGCTAGGTGGCGCCGTCATCTTGGATATCAAATGGCTTCTCCGAGCAGTGGTGTCCACATGGACCTATTCTTACCTGAATGATAGGCCACGATCGTGGCTTCATCATGCACTTCTGTGCTCAGGGAAGTGGCGCATGCTCCGTCGATTCATCCTCTCTCTGAATCTGTTTCGGTTCCTTGTCAATAGTAATAATCCAACTAGGTACAGGATGTGGTCAGGAACCATTGGGCAGTACAACCTGTTGAGGCAGTGCACTCGCCAGGAGGACGAGAAGACCAGCAATTTCTGGAGCTCGCAGTGGAAGAAGAATGCACCTGAAGACACATGGATGGAGTACGAATACCACAACTCGAGAGGCATTCAAATTTCAAGAGATTTCAGGAACAAGCTGTTTGACCGTGTTTGGAAAAACATGGAGCTAGCATTTCCAGAACGGATACCTGTGGAGTATCCGTTGCCACCACATCCTTATCCGATGGCGCCGATGGAATTTGATCTTTCTTTGCCGGCTCCTCCTCCAAAACCTATTACTGGTTTCGATCAGGAACTAAACGATGCCCTGGATTTCACTCCTGATTTACAAGAGACCATTCTTGTCCTGCACATCGCCACGGACATCTTCCTCTCTCACACGGAATCCGGTCCAAATCAAGATCAGTCGGAGTGGGGGAAGTCGATCAAGGCGTTGTCGGATTACATGATGTTCCTCGTCGCGGTGCGACCCACCATGCTCCCGGGCCTCGCACTCAGCAGCCGGTACGAAGCTCTCCTTGATGCTTTGGGTGAACAATGGAACGAGATCAAAAGTTCTTCCTCCTTCAACAACTCCATGACGAGAGAGAAGTGTCTTGCCAAAAGTCTGCTTGACAAGGAGATGAAGAAGAATGGAAGGACACCCATGAGAACATTCAAGTGGTATCAAGGTAACAAAACTGAGATACTGTCACCAGGAGCCTATCTAAGTGTTCTTTACGACTCGAGTTATATTCTATCTGATGGAGCTAGACTAGCCGATCTTCTGCTAAAATGGAAACCTGGTTCTAAAATCGAGATTGGAGATAAAGTACTTGAAGACAAACTTAAGCGGCAGTTTCCGGATTTGATGAAATCCGGTGAGGTGACTGAGACTGAATTAGAGTATCAAATGCCCAAGGAAGTGACAGACATCATCTTCAGAGAGTGGGTGCGTCTCCTAATTAACGTGTCCATCAGATGTACTAGGAATTCCCATGCCAAGCAGCTTGCTCGTGGTGGTGAGCTCACCACCGTTGTGTGGATCCTCGTTGAACACGCTCGCATTCTTCGTGTGAAAAAGACGACAAAGAGGAAACCAGCAGATAGCTACGATGGACTAGGCATTCATGTGTCTCGCTACTGACAGATATCTATAGCGTCTCTGATTGATGTGTTCATTTGATCTCCTTTAGTTAGGACGTTTTTCATTTCTCCTGTGTGTGTACCTGTGTAACTCGATCGACGATCTGTAGCTAGTAATTAACTAATTTGCAGGGTTCTCAATTATTCTCTACACTCAATTTACCTGTGGACCGGCGATTTAACCAATTCCTTTATCTCTATCTCTATCTCTACTATTATAAAAGTTTAAGGTGTTTTTGCTTTAAATTTTTGTATGTTACGGTCATCGTATCGGTTTTGTATATTCTACATACTTGCTGAGGCAGACACGTGCACTGCGCGAGAGAACCTGGCAGCCCTCCCTGCCTTGCTGGGCTAGATGAGCCTTCGGCCCATTGCCCCCACAGTCTCACTTGGCTAGCCGGCAATTACCCACCTGGAGCGGATAAAGCTGACCGAACTGCTCATATCATCTGCCGCATGCGTGACGCGATGGAAAGTTCAACATGAACAGTAGAAGGAGCATTACAAATTTTCTTGTGAACTGAAGAATGGATTTTCTTCTTTTCTATATCCATTTTTTAAATATTTTCTTGTCATTTCGGTACTAATATATATCAACTTATGAAAATATCACATCAGTGCCCATTTGCCATGTGTTTGACTCTTTTCTTAGCATGATCCTTAGTCAACATAAGCACAAACACACCACGACATTAAAGAAAAACCGAGGCCAAATTTCTTTATTTAGTAGTATGAAACATGGGGACTAAAATAACAGAGTTTCTAGGCCTTCTAGTTGGCAATCCTATAGGCTAATTAAATAATCTTTATGTTAGGACAAATCATATAATACATTTTTCATTGTAAAAAAGTATGGAATAACTTTCGGCGTTTAATTAGTTCGACTCTAAAGAAATGCAACAGGGACATTAATGTGTGGATATCATTAGCATATCAGTGGCACACTTGTTGCCAAATCATCATTATCCTTAATTTGTCATCGTTAAAGGAGTCAGCTCATTGGACAGATTTGTGGGATGTCGGAATCTTTGTAAAGTTGACAGGCACTGTGCACTGTGAGCAGTCTAGGGCCCTGTTTGGAAGATTAGCTCAGGGCTAATTTTGAGAGCTAATGTTTAGTCATGAATTGGTAGGCTAAACATTAGTCTAGGGTAGCATGTTTGGATCCATGGGCTAATTGAAGGCTAAAAGGTGGAGAGAGAGTAGAAAGAGAGGAGAGAGAAGGAGAGAGAGAACTGCTTTTTGATGGTTCCCACACAAAATTAGCCCCATTAGCATCCCTTGGAAGGGGTTAATGTTTTGAGGGGGGGGGGGGTTAATTCACTTTAGCGAAAAATTAGCCCACCTGTTTGGATCCTTGAGGGCTAATTCAGGGCTAAAAGGTGGAGGGCTACTATTTAGCACATGGAACCAAACATGGTATCTTGGGGATCATAAGTAGCCACATGGAGTAGGTTGCAAGGTAGGTATAGTATTTCTGACAGCCGCCGAAGACTTGGCTTGTGTAGAATGTGTAATTTTGGAAGAAATTTGTCAGCCAATATAGGCATCATTCTATATCGAAATGAAAGAAAATATATGTAGAGATTAATTTTTGGATCGTTGAGAAGATACATTACTTAAAAAATTATTTTCATGGAGTCACCATTTTTATTTATGGCGAAGAAAATAAGAAAGCTTGTCAAGATGCATTTGGAGGTCCCTAGGTAATAACCGCTTGCAAAAATATATTTTTACGAATGGTCTTTTCAAGAGTGCGCTTATAAAAATAGATTTTCGCAAGCGGTTCTCTTAACTGGCCACTATAAAAAAATAAACTACTGGCCCTATAAAAAACAGCCACCTAACTCTCCCTTATCTACATTTCCTTTCTCTCTAGATCTCTCCTCCCTCCTCTTCTCCCTCACACCCTCTGATCTCCATCGCTCTCAAGCTTGGGGTGACGACACATCTAGGTGGCGGTGCTCGGGCACACGGATCCGAGGTGGGGCTCGGCGGCGCACGGGCTTGGCGGTGTGGATCTAAGCCAGGGCTCAACGGCGGATCTAGGCAGGGCTCAGCAAGGCTCAGCGACGACGACAAGCTAGAAGGCGAAGGCGGGGGCTCGTTCTGACGCCGGATCAATGCGACGGTGGCTCGTTTCCATGATAGATAGCAGGTATTATGGGTCTTAAATTGTCGATTTGATATAAATGAATCGATAGATTAAAAATCAGATGTGTAGCTTAAAAAATATGCTCATTTTGATATATAAAATTATGGATTGCTTTCTCTCTCGATTTTATATGTAAAAAAATAGTGAGGGAAAGAGGAGGGGGGGGGGGGGAGGGGGGAACCAGAGTTATAAAGGGGAGACTGAGATAAATAATGGATCCTACAGTTTTCTTTTTTTCTTAGAAATTTTAGGATTTTTTAAAAATAATTTATTAACTGTGACAAGTGATGGCTTAGGAGCTCCGGTGTATAGAGGAGGTTTAACTGATGACATGATATATGCTATCAATTTTTATATAAATCTTTAATTTCTATTAGTTCTTAGACATGGGTTTATGTGTAAATAAAGTATTTCTTATATATTGGAACATGGTCAATATTTATCTAATTTAAATGTCAATATTTATCAAATTTAAATCGAATAGGTTAAAACTATAGACATTTAACTATCTAATTATTGATAGTTTATATATTAAATAGTTAGCTAAAAAATAGAGAGAGTGTGAGGAAAGTGGAGACTTATTGGCTGTGACCCATCATAGATCATATGTAGCATGTTACAATTATATCATATTAGCATGCCACAATTATGCTCGCTACAAAGAATCTCATATAATTGACAGCTTATCCCCGTAGTTATATCTCACAATGTTAATTTTTTTTACCCCAAAAATATGAGACCCGTAAAAATAATTGTTTATTTAGGCAACATCAAAGACCCACTCCTATATATAAACCCCTCCTATATATAAACCACTAGTGCTTTCATGTTTACTCATGGCTCAAGGCTCTATTACATAACAGATCTAATCATTTTTATTTATGGTAACAATTATGACGTGCATACATGTTTTGACTATTTTGCCTCTACCTTATTCTTCATGGAAAAGATGAATTTCATGAATTTCTAACCCTTATATCATTGCTTGATTTTTTTAATCTTTTTCTACTATCACTATATCCTATTCTGTTTTTTATTGGAGAGATGTATGTCTAATAGCAACCTTCTCAGATATATATTTACATAGTATCCTAGTTAGCCCCAATCAATAAGATTAGCCATGCAGTGTCCTTTTCGCCTTCCTCCGCACGCACCAGACAAGTTCATGCACCAAAACGAGCATTTTACAAGTTTGTGCACTAGATTGCACCCACCTAATAAGTTCTTGTATAGGTGATGCAATTTACTCTAGAAATAAAATAGAGAATGGGGGAGGAACTCGTGCACATGGAGGCAAACGTATGCGTTATGTAAGTAGGCACGTGTGGGGCCAGCGATTTAAGAGAAAATCAACGGTGAGATTAGGTATTGCCACGTGGTGGTCTAAGAGCGTTTGTAAAAGTGCCACGCGGTGGCTTGAGAGTGTTTGTAGGAAGGTAACCCGCGCGATGCGTGGGCATATATATTAGTTTGTTAAAAACTTGTCTGCCAAATTAATTTCAAATTAGAAGTAAGATTTTTTTTCATTCGCTTTTTTCTTTTAGTGAGCCGAGTCAAATGATTTGTTTTTTTTTTCAATTTGAGTAAGAATCACGTGCTCTCTCTCGTGAACGGAATATATACGTGGAGTACGTGCTACTGACTCATGGATAGCATCATCAAGTAATGGAGGATGGAATCATCTTGAAGTTTTTAAGTAGGTTAAGATTAAGATTAGATCTAATGATTGAAAATATTGAAAAATCAATGGTTAGATTATTTTAAATATGATTCCTATGATTTTTTTATAATTTATTAGAGGGTCACATGTCGTTTAGGAGCGTTGGTATGATTGTCACGTGGCGATTTAGGAGCGTTTATAGGATCTAAATTTAATATTTGTTTAATATGGTGCGTAAACAATTGCTCTTAAACATTTATATTAGAAGTTTGAGCTATGTATATGGATCTCGAATTATGTTTTTAATTTTAAATAGCGCAATAATTCAAAAAAATTGAGAAAAAAATTAACTTGCGATTTACGATCATTTAGAAATCTGATTATTAATTTTGATAGATTGAGTGTTAGCTAAAAAATAGAAGTTAGCTTAAGAAATAGGAAAGGAGGGGAGAGTTAGGAGGGTTATGTGCTCACGTATGGAGAGGGTGGAGATACCAGATTTTCTTTTTCGATGAAGATCGAATGGTTAAAATTAATGGGTCCATCATTTTTTTTAAAAAACATTGTTTAGAATTTTTATGATTTTGTTAGCTAGAAAATTAAAATAAGGAAGGAAGGAAAGAGGGAGGGACGTACGTACCGTGAGTAGAGAAGAGGCCCACGAGGAAGGGGCAGTGGAGATGGTTTGGGGATTTTTCTAATAGTGTAAAATATTGGGTCTACCGTATTAAGTGAAAATCGAGGGCTAGATTTTTTTTTAATTTCTTCGATTTATCTAATTTTATTAGAGTGTCGTGTGGAAGCTTAGAAGCGATTGTTGAAAGTTTAATGGACTTTAGCTAAATAATAGGAAGGGGGAAGAGGAGAGGAGAGCCATGAGCTTTTCGGAGCGGGAAGGGTCCATCGATTTAAATAAAACCGATGGTCATATGCTTTTTTTTTTCTCAAAAATTTTAAGATTTTTCTATAATTTATAAGATGTGAAATGTGTAGATATAGAGGTGTTGTAATGGACATCTAATACATGATGATATGATATAGGTTATCAATTTTTATATAACGTTACATTGCTGTTTAGTTGTCACATAAAGGATATGGATTTAGGCCTAATAATATATTTATCAGATATCAAGAAAGGCCTACATGGATCAAAGTAAAAACTGAATATATTAAAAATATATATAATCATTTAGACTATGTGACGATCGGTCACCAACTATGCATGTAATAGAGGAACTCACATCCTACAGTTATATCTCAAACGGCCTATTTTTTTAACCCATTAGATACAAGATCATTGCAGATGACACATCAAATGCCTATTTCTATATCGAAAAACATAGTGAATAT